TGGGATGAAAAGTGAAATGTGAAATTGTAAACTGCCTAAGACAAGAATGCTTTCTAGTTCTACTCAGACTGGTGTTTAAGGATCTGAGAGCGGTGCCCTTGGTCCAAAATGTAGTAAGCACCAGAGCACTTTGTCATGGTGTCAGCATCCCATAGCCTTCACTTTCTCCCAAACCATCTCCCAAGAAAAGCTGCATTTTGGTTGTTTGTTTCCAGAATATCAAACACATAGGTTTCAAGATCTAACAAACATGCTTCTCTAGAACAATTTATAATGCTATATTAACAAACCAACTAAAGACTTATAATCATTCAAGAAGGCTTATTACAGATGAGTGTAAATGCCTTCTGTTGTCAGAATGTGACTCCATGCAAAGGGTTTCCCACTTTTGCCCTACAAGTACCTGCTGTATTTTTTTAGAACCAAATTAATTGCCCAAGAAATTAAATCTGTTTAAAATGAGATACTATTAAATAAGGCTTTTGACATCAGCAAAGATATTCTCTATCAATAGGACATAAATACTCTTTGTCTGCTTAAAATATAAAATCATATATATATATATATATATATACATATATAAATAAAAATCATGACTGCATGTTATGTACAGATATACTTTCATTCTTTCTAAATTGTCAGATTGAACAAAAATAAATTGCAAGGATTCAGTCTAAAAGGGTAAATAATACAGAGGGCATTTTGCCCAGTCTGCTCTAAACCTTTACTTATTTTTAGTACTAAACATAAAGCAAATCTTTGAGAAAGTACAAGATTTTTTAAACGTTTGCTTTTATTCTTACCTCAATCTTCAAATATTTCTATGCTCCTGACGTTTCGACCTAGTTTTTTAAAATTGAAGTACTCTTTTTTTAAAATGAATGAAGCTTTAAAGCTACTGCAAACCCCAATTTTTTCTTAAGATATTTCCAGTCACCACTACACCCTGAAAACCCTGGCAGTAATTAAAAGCTGGTTAATGTAAGAATAATTGATGTCAGTATATGTCAAAATTATTTTTTGGAAGATCCACCATTTTAATTTAAAATACATGTAACCATTCTTCCCTCAGGATATTGTCAGGCTAATTAAAGTTCACTCATATTGGCATTTGAGATAGGAATTTCCAGGACATGAGGATGCTTTTAGGCTGTAAATCCATCTCCTTTGATTGAACTGTCTGCTCCAGTGCTGGCAATGGCCTCAGCAAGCTGGAATTTATTATGTTTCCGGGGCACATTTTATATTGTCTCTATGCCTCAGTACTATGCCTCAGACACTATAACTTGCCTCTGAATGTGATGATTCTATTTCAGTGTTTAAAAAAAAAAATCTCACCTTCACAGACTATCTTATCCCTGAACAAAGTGAATATTTAATCATATTCAAGGCAGGTATAAGGCCACTTTTCTCAAAAAGGAGTTAGAGAAGATGGTAATTCAGAAAATCGTTTATGGTTATATGTGAACTATCATAAGCGTTGCACTTCTATGTATGCTGAGTCTGTTTTGTTTATGTCTCCAGACACAGGGAGAAATAGCTCTCCATTTTGGATAACTCTTGAGCTTCCATTTTAGCTTGATGGGGTTTTTTGGGGGGGAGGATGGTTATATGGGGAAGTAAGTGAAAATGAGGAAGAAACAAACCCCTTGATGAAAATTTGGTTTCAAATATTTATGATACTAATTTACTTAGTAAATTTGTCACAAATATGGCACAGTGCAGATGTAAAAATTAGTTTCTTCTATTTTTAGATTCATATATATTTGTTTTATGATTATATCATGAACTTTTTCCTAGGATGTTAGCTTTTCTAATTTGATGATGTATATCATTGAAACAAAATGCTAATTCTCTAATTTCAAAAGCAGTAAAATCTCATATTTAGCTTTCATGGATAAGAATACATGGGAAAAATTAAAAGAAGGATATGATTGCAAAATGACCTTAATAAAAGCAAAAAGTGGTTTCTGCATACAGATGAGTCCTTAGAACATGAGTTTTAGTTTGTACATATACTATTGATTTATGAAAATATTCCAAAATTACCAGAGTGGATATCAGTACCGAATTTTTCCTACACATTTTTCCTGCAGGGATATCCTGGAACACAGCTTTATAAATTCCTCAAAAAAATAATACCTTAAATATTACGTATTAAATTATTTTAAAACAATTTAATGCTTTATAGCAACTAAAATTTTTATTTTAAAAGTTGCATTTTACAAACCATTACTGTATTTATTTTATCCCTTTCATTACTTGCCATTTAAACCTCTGGGATCATTCACAAAGACAGATAATTACCCACTCGTTTTTGTTTTTTTTCCTTAATTCTAATTAATTTTTTTAATGAAAAATATTAGAGTCAAGAGTTATTTGGATATGTCTTATAACCCAAATTCGCCTGAAACCAGCAGTTTGTAACAGCTCTTCTTTTGAATTCACATATGTTCACTGCTTTTGCTTTGCAGATTCAACTTACGTACAAAATAATAATCTGAGGAAGTGTTTAGCACATTATACAAGTGTATGTTGTCTTTCTAACTTGATCATTTAAAATAATAAATAATAAAAAGTTTATATTTTATGTATCCAATTAGGATTACTTAGAGACCCTTATTCTTGCCTGATGAAAGTGTATGTTATAGAAACAGCAATACAATTCCTTCTTCCTTCCTTCCTTCCTCCCTCCTTCCCTCTCTCCCGCCCTCCCTTCCCCTCCTTTCCTTCCACCCCCTCTCTCTTTGTTTCTTTTTCTTAATACACTGAGGTAAAGAGTTTCCATATCTAGTGTTGCAAGTAGAGATCTTATTAGATTGCTAACTTGGTGAATTCTCATTTCAGATTTGTTCTTGCCTCAAGGCTTCAGTCTGATTGGATGTTAATGCTGTATTTTGCACATACTCATTTGACTGTGACAGTCACCATTGGGTTGCTTTTGATTCCAAAGGTATTCCTCTAACATTACCTTTCTCTTGCAAGCTAGTTATCTTCAATGAGCATTGAGTTATTTCTCCTTTAAAAAAATATCTGGCAATATAGGCAAAGGGAGGTATGGAGATTTGCTTGACATCTAAAACATTTTTAAAGCTCCCTCAAGAAACTAGGTGTCTGTTTTCTTTTGGGATTTATTAAATATCTCACATGATTATTAAGTGACTTAGCTTGCTCAAAACCCACCCTGTTTCAATATCCAGATGTGTTTTAATTATTGTGGGTTCAAGGTGGCTTTCACTGTAAAATCAAGAGTTTTTAAAGAGAATTGTCATATTCTAAGAATTCTCTGGTTTTGGATTAACAATCAGAGAAATATTATGTTTTAAACATTCAGAGAATTTTTATTTAAATAGAAACAGTAATTATAATATTGTGTATAGGAAAGTCTTGCTTAATGATATAGATTCTGACAAAAACTTACCGTATTTCCCCTTGTATAAGATGCACCTCTTTTGAAAATTTTGGGGTCTAAAAACTGGGTGTGTCTTATACAGTGGTTGTAGATTTTTTTACTTGCATTTCCCGCTGAGGACGAGGCAATATATGAAGACAGTGATTCGTCATCAGACACAGATGAGGACAAGCTAATTGTTGGGAGTTTTGACAGTGATGAGGAGTTGCATGAATTTTATGATGAATAAAACTTGAGTTCAATAACTTTATGTAATACATTTTTTTCAAATTTTGGGCCCCAAAATTAAGGTGCATCTTATACATAGAGCGTCTTATACATGGGGAAATACGGTATGTAGGCAGCATAATGTAGTGGGTGGAAATGGGCCAGGACTCAAATACAAGGATTAGGAACTTGTGCTGTACCTCAAACTGGCTATATAATATGATATTAGCCAAGACTTTGCATCTCTCTGAGTTTGAGTTTCCTCATCTGTGACGTGATAGCAATAAGGCTGCTTGGAATGCAATAAAATCAGAGTTTGGGAAAAGAACAGATTATACAAACTGTAGCATTATCATTATTTTCCTTTTACACATAGAACAACAAAATAGTAGAACATTATATATCTTGTTTTCTTTTCTGAATTTATTTGCCAATTACAGTTGACATACTGGTTATATTAGTTTCAGATGTACAAACACAATGACTAGACAGTTATATACCTTATGAAATGATCAGTCTTTATTGGTGCAACACAATATAACATTATCATGGCTGAAACAAGAACTGTGATTTCTTGTCTTTCACCCCAGGCTTTACCTCACTTCTCAGAATTAACCAAAACATTGAAATTCAGCCTGAATGAAAAGGCCAAATGATTATAAACAAAGCAAATGCCTATTTTCTTCCTTACTTGAATGACACCAAAGAGCCACAATTTTCATGGATTAGTCTGTTACTGAAATTTATCTTAACCTTTTTATAGTTGCATAATGTAATAACACTTTTATGAGATGTATGTATACTCAGACTATTCATTTGTTCAATAAATTGTTATTGAACTCCAAAGAAAATTGAAAACATATGTTGATTTTACGTGAATGTTCATAGCAGCACTATTCAAAAAGTGGAAATGACCCAAATTTCTATCAACTGATAAATGTATAAATAAAATTTGGTATATCCATACAATGGAATATTATTTATCAATAAAAAGGAATGAAGCACTGATACGTGCTACAACTTATACAAAACTTGAAAACATTATGCCAAGTGAAAGAAGCCAGACACAAAAGGCCACATATTGTATGATTACATTGATGTGAAAAGTCCAGAACAAGCAACTCTATAGGGACAGAAAGCAAGTTAATGGTTGCCATGGGCTGGGGGAAAGAGAAATGGAAGTGACTGCTTCATGAGTTCAAGGTTTCTTTTGGGGGTGATGAAGATATTCTGTAATTCGACTTTTTGAATATACTAAAAGACATGGAATTGTACAATTTAAAATTGAGAATTTTAAGGTATGCAAATTATATCTCAAGAGCAGATAAAGAAAATACTGAGGGGCTTTACTAAGCACTGTTCTGGATCATGGAGTAAAAGTAATGAACAGATAAAAATCTATGCTCTTATGGTACTCATTTTCTAGAGGAGAGGATAGGGAAACAGAAAAGATAAATAACATAAATATTTTAAATAGTATTTTAGATAGAGATAAGCATGAAGGAAAATAATAAAGCAGGAAATGGGCACTATCTGACAAATAATTGTTTCTTAAACTCATGACAATCTCTAAGAAAAAACTCCATTCTTATAAATAAGCTCCAAGTGGTTTAGCTAGTAGTGTGTGAGATTTTGGAGGACAGGGACTCTATTTTATTCATCTTTATGGCCTTAAGCTAACGGCGCATGTTGAAACCACACACATAATTAGAACAGTGAAAGAAAGATTCATCAGTTTCTGTGGTTTCTCAGCCAGTCCCAATTACAAAACATTCAGTATTACTTAAATAGAGAATTACCATTTCACATTATCTCATATTCACCTGCCTGCCTGAACATGTTAACGAACATTGACATCAAAATATTGCTATCATCAAAGAGTGATCTGTTAATTTTGTAAAGGAATATTTGATCTGATGACAAGTTGGGAGAAGAGAACCCATGTTCTCTAAAACCGTTCTCTCAATATTCATAGGACAACGACTTGGTTTACATATTGCGTGAGGGGTGGCTGGATTGTTTGTTCTCCCTGCTTCCTATCATTTCCCCAATTCACTCTTCTCCCCTTCGCCTTTCAAAGACGAGATAGCAAGAGCACATGAAACTGAAAAATATTAAAAAGCCACATGAAAATAATAAAAAATATGTCAAAATGTGATGAAGGAGCAACTGAGAATAATGAGCTCAAGAAAAAAAATCTGTAATTTCAGTGAATCTTTGAATTTTAAATTTAAGATACCATCTATCCCAGAGCCCTTTAGGGTCAGGAGGGCACTGTGCTCCAGCAAGGCTTCGTGACTTGCTTACAATCTCACTGTCAACACTCTTGAGGCTGGAATTCAGATTTCCTATCTCCTGAGTCTTGAAAGTAGATGGTTTTTTATATACTTTAAAATTGTTTTTCAAGGACAATTAACATACAATATTATATTAACTTCAGGTGTACAGCATAGTGGTTAGACATTTACATAACTTATGAAGTAATCACCCCGATAAACCTAGGACCGCCCTGATACCATCCATAGTCATTACAATATTATTGACCACATTCCCTGTGCTATACTTTATGTCCCTGTAACTTTTTATAACTGCCACTTTTTTACTTCTTAATCCCTTCACCTTTTGAAAGTAGACTTTTTTAAAGCTATGTGTAGTAGACTGAAAGTCACATTCCTATTATCATGGCCAAATGTACCCAGAAATAAAATACAGCCTCCCCTATGGGAAGCAAAATGATAAACATATGATAGACCCCACTGCTCAAAAAAATATTCCCATCTAGCTGCCAATAGATCTAAATTGCTACTTGTAGAGAACATTTCTTTGGATTCTTATACTTATTTCCATTTTAAAAATGCAAATATCTTGGAAGAGATGTAATAGAAGTTAACACAGGGAGCTCAGAGAAAAAACAAGGGTGAAAATAGGAGTCAAAGAGGGAACCAAGCACCTCATTAATGTGTAACATGGAAAGCAACACTTAAATATAGCAGCAAACTTTTGTAAAGAGTTCAGTGAATGAATTCATCTAAGCTGCAGAAATGATATGAACATTAGAACTTTTAGACATTATGCAATGTCTTATTGTGGATAAAATCTAGAGCTCATACTGAATATCTATTTCAGTTTTCACAGTCAAGCAATAACCCACGAGATGACATTGCTACGGAAGCGTATGAAGATGAGCTTGACATGGGCCGGTCTGGATCCTACTTAAACAGCAGTATCAACTCAGCCTGGAGTGAGCACAGCTTGGATCCAGAGGACATCCGGGTAATACCAGTGTTTCTTCTTTCCTATTTCAGGTTAGGCCCATTTATATAGGCAAGCATGTGTGCACATGTCTGTGCATGTGCGTGTTACAAAGAAAATGAGAGAGAGAATGTGTGTTTGTGTCAGAACTGAAGACGTCAAATACAGAGTTAATCCAGTTCTACAATGTATGATCATGACATAAATTAGGAAGCACAGGCCAATCTTGATAATCTCAACTGACTTATTGGCAGTCATAGTAATAAGCTTGGTCTACGCGTTCCATCATATGGTTTATGAGGTTTTGCTGATGGGAAGGTAGGCTAGATCTGTGAGCAGAGAGCCTGGGTTATTTAAAATAATCTGTGGCAACATGTCAGCACTTGGAGGAAGAAGATGCTTTTAGTATTTGATGATCCGTGTCCCCTAAACATAATCTAACATTAAGTGTAACTTTATCAATGGTTACATGATGCTTCCAATATTGTTCCAGGGATACAGTTTATCAGCAGACAATACACTGTGTTTCCTTATGGTCCAGGCACAGTCTGGCCCAGACAACTCCCAAGTTCAAAGCGCTTGCTCCGTTAAGCAAGGCTAGAATGCATGGGTTCATGTCTTAATGTTCTAAGTCTATGTGAAACAAAACACAGAGTAATCAAAGAGTAAGTATAAGAAGAGAGTTGATGAGTAGAGATGTTAGGACGAGCTGTAGAACAATTTCCCTAAAGAGCTCAAGCTTTTTGAATTCAGATTACCTTCAATAATTTTATCTGGCTGAAACACTAAATTCCACACCTTTTACTCTCGTTCTGCCAGGATGAGCTGAAGAAACTCTATGCCCAGTTGGAAATATATAAAAGGAAGAAGATGATCACAAATAACCCCCACCTCCAGAAAAAGCGGTGCTCGAAGAAGGGCTTAGGCCGTTCCATCATGAGGCGTATAACCGAGATCCCAGAGACGGTCAGCAGGCAGTGTTCCAAAGAGGACAAGGAAGTTGCAGACCACAGTGTGGCCAAAAGCACTGCCCTCATCAGGAAGAACCCACAAGAGGCTTCAGGTAATACTGGGAAACCCAAGGAGGAGTCCCTGAAAAACCGAGTGTTCTCCCTGAAGAAATCCCATAGCACTTACGATCACGTGAGGGAGCAAACCGAAGAGTCCAATAGCTTACCCACCGAAAGCCAAGAAGAGGAGGCGACAGAAAACTCCACACTGGAATCCCTGTCAGGTAAAAAACTAACACAAGCGCTGAAAGAAAACAGTGAGGCCGAGTCCACGGAGTCTGTGCCTTTGGTGTGTAAGTCAGCAAGTGCTCACAACCTCAGCTCGGAGAAGAAGCCGGGGCACCCACGAACGTCCATGTTACAGAAGTCTCTCAGTGTCATAGCGAGTGCCAAGGGGAAGACGCTTGGATTAGCTGGGAAAACCCAGACGTCAAGCGTGGAAGAACGTGCTAAAGCCCAGAAACCCCTGCCAAAAGATAAAGAGACAAGCAGAAAACACTCAAATTCTGATAATACAGAGACTAAAGATTGTGCTCCCCAAAACTCCAGTCATTTTGAGGAGCCCAGAAAACCTCAGAAATCTGGGATTATGAAGCCACAGAGGGCCAACCACCCCACTGCCAAGTCTGACATGAGTCCCGGCACCACCCAGAGGAAGGATAACTTTGACGTAGGGGAAGTGTGCCCTTGGGAGATGTACGACCTGACCCCTGGTCCTGTGCCTTCAGAATCGAAAGTTCAAAAGCATGTGTCTATTGTGGCTTCTGAAACAGAGAAAAACCCACCATTTTCCTCGAAGGAGACATCTCACCCCAAGGCTAAGGCAGCTGACCTATGTCAGCAATCCAATCAGAAGAGCATAGACAAGGCTGCGGTCTGCCCTTGGGAGAGCCAAGGTCAGGCCCTTTTTGAAGATGAGAAGCATTTGATGTCCAACACTCAGGTTCCCGCAGGGAGAGCAGCAGAGGAGAATGGAAGTCAGCATTCTGCAGCCAATGTGTGTGCTGGGTCATATGAAGAACTGCCCCCCAAAGCTGTAGCATCAAAAGTAGAGAGTGAAAATCTCACCCAACTAGGAAACCAGGAGAAAAACCCATCTTCCTCTAAGGAAAGTAGGCCTGGCACCTATAACTCCAGTAATAACTTTCAGCAACCCTTCATGTCGCGAGCCGAGGTGTGTCCCTGGGAGTTTGAGACCCCCGATGAACCAAATGCTGAAAGAAGTGTAGCCTTACCTGCCTCTTCAGCTTTAAGTGCAAATCTGATAGCAGGGCCTCGGAAATAAGAGGACTGGGACGCTTTTAACGTGTTGCAGCCCCAGAAGGAAAAGGAGAACGAAGAAACCCTGAATTTAATATAAGACAGAAGATGGAAGGATCGAAAATTCCCAAAGAGTATTTGTCGCTGAGGGGAAGTGTGAAATGCATGGGTAGAAGAAGACTAAGGAGGGAAGAGCAACGTCATCACGGAGAAGGTTCTTCCCCTGGTAACGTTAGGAAAATCTTTACATTTCGGCACGTTTAGAGGAAGTAGCCCTCAGTGTCTGCCCCTGATCAATATTTACCCGTGGGACTTTGAAGATCCTAAGCAAGGCGAACCAGAGGGCACAGAAGAGGTACGAGGTTTGCACAGAAGGGATAGACAAATATGACCGAAATTCAAAGTAGCTGACTGAAAGAACTTACTTTACCTATTTAACCTGGAAGGCACTGCTTACTTAATGCATCCCCCAAATACCTTTTATATTAATGATTGCTCTCATTTTCTTACAATTGTATGTTTCAGTACATTGTTGTGTCTCATAGTCAAGCATTCCAGATTGTATAATTTTTGCAAATAACTTTGATATTATGTGACACAACACATTTATGCAATCTGCAGCTAATCAATTGCTATTGCAACTTACAGAATACCTGCTATCTATCAACTTTAGTTGATTCTCAAAGTACAGTAAGCTTTCTCTGGCTTGGGAAGTCATACTGTTATGATAAAACCTTTTAGTTTGGGCTGTGGTTTATATATTGTGAATTTGGATTATTATTTCACATCATGATTTGTTCTACTGTCTCAATCAGGGTTTTTTATACACGTTGAGTTACTTGTTTTGCACTTGTTGTTAGGACTCAGAAGCTTTATTACTATCGGAGATCGGTGGTCCTACATAGTCATATGTCTCAGTAAGTTAAGGACAACTTATCTATTGTTTGTTTGAAGTCAGAGATAGATAATGCCTTCATTTCAAAGAAACCCGCCTTTTAACCCTTTCAGTATTTCATACTTAGCAGCATTTCGTAAGGAAGAAGCTAAGAGTGAGAGAAATATACTGTGCAATTACTATTACCGTGCAAAAGAGAAGACTTTAGGAATGTTGTGAGAATTATAGCAGTACTGCAGAACCAGGAAATTTGCCTTTCAAAACAAAGACAGAAAAGGAGCTCCTGATAGCACTTTCAAGGGATTATTTTTTTAAAGAGAAACATTATGATAGCATCAAGATCATTGGATGAATATATTTTTATTGTGCATACTGAATATATAATATTTTAAATGACCTTAAACTATTTATTCTCATAAACTCTTACCCATTCCTTCAGCTAGGGATAGAACTTGCTGGGCTCAAAACCCAAAGAGATTTATAACCTGATTTATTCCAGGCCTATCCGGTGGTACGGCATCTTCCTTCTCCCAAACACTGGAAAACTCACCAGTCCTGCAAATTGGCATTCAGAGCCACCTAGCTCAAAATTAAAAACACGAAGGTTTATTTGCAAGGCAAAACAGCCCCCAAAAGCATATTTTATAAGATGTATTGCGTTCCACACTGATCATTTGGCATGAAAATCCTGAACTGCCGACTTAGCCCTGCTGATGTGATCATGCAAAGAGATTCCATTTCAAAGCTCAGTCTCATTTTATTTAAAGACAAATCACTTAAAAATAGAACCCAGACACCCCTTTTTCTCACGCTAAACGCTGAAGATTCAAGGGCTTATGTAGCCAGGACATTCCAGCCTAAGTGACCTCTTCCTTGCATGAGTAGCAAGAACATACTAGGAGGATAAAAGATGAGAAAGGGAATCAGAAGGTGGATACAGGGCTGTTCTTAGAGACTGTCATCCTCAGTGGAAGGGGAAAACTAAGACTTCTTAGTCATCCTTCAATTTTCTCAATACTTTTTATTCAGGAGTAAGTGAGCACTTCACCATTTTGCAAAGCTGTGCACAAATTCCCCTCCCCCATTTCCTTGCTTTGTGCATTACTCAGGTTGGTGGGGTAGGTTTGAAGAGACAGAAATTCTATTTTTGTGTGTGTTTCCTTCACTTATTTCCTTCTTCCCGTCCTGTGTAATCAAGGCCTATCTACTTGGTAACCTCCGAATGCAACTTCAAGGTCTATTTGTATACCAGTTTCCAGACCCACCTACTTGTTTAATTTATGTCTGAGATCTGTCAGCACTTTATTCACTTTTTGAGACATAAGCAGTCAAGCATCAATGACTTTTTATTGCACTTCAGGGTAATCCTGCTAGACATGTGGCTTAAAGAAGACTTGCCAAATTATACCTTAGTCCATAGATTTTCCTCCACCAGCATAAATCAGTAAGAGTGCCTAGGGTCTTTCCTAGAGTTTCATTGCCATTACTTATCACCAAGAGAAGTTTAAATCTACAGTTCTTGAGGCTATTTTCCCAGATTGATAATAAGAAAGTGAATAGACACTGTGAAGGTCACAAACATGTGCTAGGTTGTCCTTCTCGATGCATGTGCAGGCTGCATCCTGTCCTTGTTTTTAAGCCAGGGTTTATAAATAAGTAGATTTCTACCAATCTTAATAGAACTGTATATTTTATGCAAGAATTAAATGCTTCACGACATGAATTATAACTCAGCCCATTGTAACCTTTGGTGGCGATATGGATTTGAAACTCGACAGTTCTCTTGTATTTGCTTCCTAGGTTTCTGCATGCAAGTGATGACAGGTAGGACTGAAAACACACTGCCTTTTGACTTCTAGCATTTAGCAACCGAGAGTTGTAGAGTCGATAAAGCTGTAAGTCTCTTCACTTAATCTGTCGTTCTTCTGAAACTATTATCTGAAATCTGTAGCATCCCGCCATGAACTATTTGGTAAATTTATGTTGTGACGTGTTGCAGCATGTAAATAATTATAACTTCTCTGCAATAAAACATATTTATATGAAAGTGATTTGTGTGTTTATCTGTTGAGAACTGAATTTATTTCACTCAACCAACTTTGAAGGAATTGCGTATATCTTTGGCTTTGGCATACTTATGCACGTACCTTCTTTATTGCCTATCTGCAGGAATATGTGATTAACCAAATGTGGCTTCAAACATCCAGGTAATCATTTGGAGCCAATAAATCCTGTTAAGATGAGTGGTTTTGATTTAAGGAACTTCTAGCCAGATAGGAATTCACTCAGCTACCTTTTTGAATTTACTCAACACACATACCCGGCAATCAGCTGAGCAGTTATGATGATCTTTAAATGAACAAGAGTTCCAATAATGCTGAGGCCCATGTGAGTATCCAGCCACTGCTGTGGTAATACACAGGCGACTCATGACCAAGACACAGAGTCAGGGAAAACTTAACAGAAAGGCAAGTTCACCAGACTGAGAGGTGTCAGTTACGAAAGGGGAAGACGATTAGGCTAGAAAAGGGTGCATAGCCTTGTATGCTGTGTTGCAGATTAACTACAGCTTTAACCTGGAGTACTGGGAGCTGTCCAAAAACGTTCAACAGGGCTGTAATTAGGTCATGGATTAGCAGGGTCCTTCGGGGAGCAGCCCAGAAATGGACTGAATGGGAAGAGACAAGTGACAGCTAGATCAATTGGAAGACTAGTGCGAGAGTCAAGATACAGGAAGGCAAGGGCCTAAAGAGGGGAGGAAAAGAGTATTGGTTATTTCATCAAAGTAACATCTTTAGTTGGGTTTATTCTTATGTTATAGACAGATGAAGTCAGAAAAGTCAGAGTAATGAAACAACTATGTCAAATATAAGTGTTCCTCCTAAGTTTGTGGACATTTTGGATAATTGCAAAAGTTTTAAAAGCCCTCTTGAAGATCCATAAAGTTCATATCATCTATTCATGAGAAGAGTGGTGGAGTAGGATACCAGCTTCATTCTGTGGGAAAAACCTCGATACCAAACTGGGCTGGGAAAGGGACAGAGGGCTCGCGGCAGCATGGACTTCAATTCCTGTCTGCAAGTGGCAGCTCTGGGAAGCAGCTCCAGAAAGAGACGTCGGTGGCTAGAGGGCAGAGGAGAGAGCTGGACCCACCTTGTTCCTGCCCTCATCCTTCCTTTAGTGATTCATAGCAAACGCCCTTTCCCATCTCTGCACACCATTGTGCCTTCTGCATTCTATAGACTCAGTACTTACACAGAGAATCCGTGGTTTCAGCTCGCTAAATGATCCTAAAGGGCTAAGACAAAAGTGTTTGGGGATGAACAAGTCATGAAAATCAAGTCTATTGTGCTTTCTTATCTGATAAGGAAGAGAAAGCCTTTTCAGTGTTTGTTGGAATTGCTTAGTTGAGGCTGTATTATTTTTTTCATATGTTTATGCATAGTGATTGTCATTGTTTTCTTGTTCTAAATTTAGGAACTTTATGTTAAAAAATACCTAAGGGGAATATTTTTATCAGAAATTGTCTTTATTGCACAATAGGTAGTCATGTAAATGTATTGTTCTAAAACAATGCAAGTTAAAGATTTTGTTATTTCAGTGTATTCCATCCTTTTCCCTTGAATTGTTGTGAAGACAGAAATAAGATCTTTCTGATTTTGCTCATTTTCTCTGTAAACATTTGTTTCTTAGAAAGTACAGGGCAAACTTCAAGCACATTGTATGTTCTATCTGTGTTAACTGGTTAGAAGGCAGATAATGAAATGTATGAGTTGGTTTTTAACTTCCCTCTATTTCTCTGTGATGTGAACATAATACTTTGCTAGAAATACAACTGTCTGATCAAATGAAAATGAAAAATAAGAGATAAATATAGGAAATGGTCTGTGCTGTACAATAGTCACATTTCTAGAAAGAAAAATAAGGGGATGGTTGGTTAGCTCAGTTGGACACCAAGGTTGTTGACTCGATCCCCGCGTGGGCCACTGTGAGCTGTGTCCTCCTTAAAAAAAAACAAAAAAAAAATCCATAAGTTTATAAAAAATATAAAAGAGTATATCGTAAGTTTATTAAAAATATAAAAGAGTATTGAAGTTTCTAGAAAATGAAAAAATGCCATTGGT